TGATTAAAGAAGCAACAAATGACGGTCATATTTCTTAATCCCAGAAGACATTCGTTACCCACATATTAGATGTCTACCGTAGATAAATGAAACTTACTTCGTAGTGTCCGCAATTTGATGGTATTCAACCTTAAACAAAAAGTGATAGCGAAAGCAATGGCTGTACTATTTTTTAGACATCAGATGCAACAACTCCTTCCCCTCCCTTTGAGGACCATCACAACATAGCTCTATGTTCCTACAACTTCCACACCTATACTAAAACTTCAGACCCATGACAATAAAGATCTGTAGGAATTTTTACCTCCAAACAACATGTAACTTTAGACATACCAAAACATAATTTTGTGTTAAAATAGTTTAAATATCATTTGACTCAAAGGCTAAATGAAATTTGCAAGTGAATGCCCCCAAAAGGAACTTGATAATGAATTTAAGAACGAACTAAATAAACAACCAGCAGCAACCTTGAACCAATTAATTACCCAAATCCAGGAGTTGAAACACTTGCCCAGCCTCAAAGGGTGATGTAATGGAAATACTGTAGCTCTGGTTTCCCTTGTTGATTCTTGCATAGAGGCAAAAGGTGGGATTATACAATCAGTTGATAGAAGAAGATGATTTGGAAACTATAGTCTGCCATCAAAGACAAATTATCAAGCATTTCAGTGTTCTTTTTCTTAACTTTTTTGGGATCAACATTTTAGAAATACTAAATGTGTTGTGTAAGAACTTACAGAAGAAGCAGCAGCTGAAAAGAACATAGGCTAGAATCACACAAAAACCTTAGGTTAAGGCATCTATGAACATTGGCTCAATCAATAATGCTCAGTATCTCAAAATCATTAACCCCAATTGGAAGCTCACTACTGATTCCTTCAGGTCAACTCGAATCAAAACAGTCTCAGCCTAATGGAATGGATTAGAGCACACTACCATAAAAACAAAATATCTAAGAATTAACTATTCGATGCTGATAAGATTCTAACTACAAAACAAACAGTGAACTTAATATCAAATGAATAACCAATAAGTGATACCGACTTTTCTTTGTGCAGAGATATCCAAATCCCTTTTTATGTTCTTTGTCTATATGAGTAACCAATCTTCCTGTCTTATTGCTTCAAGCAATTTTTCTGCAGCCAAATTGGTCAGATAATTGGTCATATACAGAGAAACATCATCTCCTTCCCATAATAACATCTATAGATTATAGTTTAACATATATAGGCAAAATCCAATCTTTACTTTAAAAAACAATAGATGCAGCAGCAATCCGATATCATCAAGATAGCTAATATGATTTAGGATGATTTTCATGAGCCTGGGTCAATCAAGGATCAAAGCATGACCACAACAAAGTAAGGAATTGAAAAGTTTGCTATCTGATTATATCGTCATATGAAAAAGCAGGTCCCGGACACTAACAAATTCAAAAGGGCACATCCAAGAGTACAAAGTTAATAGATTGCCACTTGCTAAATCCAGACATTCATTGCAAGTCAATTTCATGCAAGTTTTACATCACAGCTTAAAAAGTACAGTGTCGAAGAAGATAAAACAAACGGATTAAATATATGATCCAACTGTATAATTTAAGATCTCAAGTGCAATACATGTATTTTTTACATAGACGTTCTATATAAATCCTACTGCAAGTATTTGTCTTCGCTTGATTCTATCCTACTACAAAATTCTGAATAAAAGTGCAGAACACAAAACATCTTACTGAAGCACATCTATCTAAAGGAAAAACTGGTAAAATGAAGAGACACAATTCCTATGCCGTAGAACCTGCCATGATATGTAAGATGATAAGTGGAGGTTTGAAGCGACAACAAACAGAGAAGCAGCAAGGGTAGTAATCAGAATACTACCTTTGGTTACGAAATCCATGGGCATTGGCTAAACCAAACACCATCGTGCATCTCAAATTCATGAACATATACTTTTTCTCTATACTTCAGTTCGTAGGAAACACCTATAGCAACAAATGGAACCTATAAAATGAAAAATTATAAAATCAGAATCGTGAATGGGTAGGAACGAATACATGGGGAAAATCACCTAATTGATTTTAGATGAGTATCCTTGTACTGGTTGGAACTGACAATTATCCTATGAGTATCCAAAATCAAATTAAAATACCAACCATACCTGAAAACAATACCAATATAACAAATAAAAAATTAAACTTTTAGATGAATATGAAAGGTAATCACAAGTTACAGTCCCTAGGCAACACAAACCTGGATTCATTCTAATTTTAGAAACCAAACACGATTTGTGATTGACCGTGCAACATGATATAACACAACATCAGCTATAAAAATGAGAGATTCAAGGGAGAAAAAGTACCAAGAGAAAGCTCGTTCATAAAGAGCACAAATCTCATCATCATGAGAATCGCCAATCGTGTTTGATTATATCATTTTTCTTGGTCCTTTTTGTTGCATATATGCTCTTCCTCTTGAAAGGAAAAAAGGGATCAACGAATCATAATCATCGGGCGTAGAAGACATACACACATAAAAGAACTGGAAACAAATATATAAACCGTTGAAAATTGGAGCACTCATCATTATGTTCTGCAGAAGGCATGTCTTGTTTATGGTCGCTTTATTTTGACAGAACTGATGACGATGTAATCTTCCCTTCCGGATGCACTCTTCCCTGAACACCAATACAAACAATTAGCATAGCACATGAATTTAGTTTGTAGCGCACCTTGTTGATTAAGAAGGTGACTACTCTTACATGTTAGTTGTCGTTTCTGAAATGACCACATCAATGTACCCAACCACTGCATAAGAACTCGGATAATAAGGCCATTTCTATGTGATCATGCATATCGCGAAGGTAAACATAATAGCAACGTAAGAACTCAATAATCCGAAAGCTATTTGAGGTACAAACCGCGAGGTTTGGAAGATATAAAATGGAGCCAAACACATCCAAACCACCATTGATTGCAAGCACTTGATTAATAAGTTGAACTCGGCAAGTGAAAGCTTCCTAATGTGCTATGTGGAAGGTAAGTACCCAAAACTGGCATAAGCTCATTAACCTGCGAATAAATCACAAGAAATTAAACAAAAAAAAAAAAAAAAACAGAAGCAAAGAGAGAAGGTCACCACCATGTTTATTTCGTTATTCCTTCACAATCGTAATAGAGTTCTTCACCTTTTCGATTTTGTGCGTCTTCTTATTCCTCCTTCCACTGCCGTTCTCTTTGCCTTCTATGTCTTTGTAAACTGCGACCAGGGGATTTGACCAGGGAAAATTAATTCTCTGCTGTTGCTTCTTCTTCTTCTTCCTCTTAGCCTTTTTTGTATTCATGAAAGTCCTCATATGTTGACCAAACTAAGACTTATCACAAACACCCAATCAAACTGAAAGGAAGTCGCCAAACTTGAACTACATGGCTTTGCCTTCTTTCTACTCCGCTAAATTAATCATCCTTATTCTTTCCTCTGCAAACCCAACGCTCATTTTCCACTTTCTCCTGCCATCATCGAGTTCCCGTCGTCGTTTCTTCAATATGAAAGAACGGGCAAAAATGATGAACCAAATCCATGTAGTATAGTAAGGGAAAATCATAACGTAGACCCAAAAATCAACACACTAAATAAGAAGTCAGAAAGTGAATATTAACGAAAGAGAGTCAGAAACCCACCGCCGCCGCTAACCCATCCCTCGCCTTTTCTCCTTATGCGAATACAAAGCTCGTTTTCTTCTTGTATGGTTCACTCTCAGTAATCATAATTTAGTTTTGTCGTCGTCTCTTTGATCAGAAAAGAATTGGAGAAGATGATGAACCAAATCTATCAAGTACGATGGGCTAAAACCAAATTTAGAACTTAATATCCGGAACAGAAAGGAGACTGAAATGGAATATCAATGAAAGAGGGCGAGAAACCTACCAGTTGCAGCTGGGATCTAAACCAGAGCTCAATTATTTATGCCTTCTTTGGAACTCGGCTCCCCTGGTTTCCCCTGTTTTCCTTGGCTTCAAGGGGCTTGTAGTCGCCGAATTCGCCGAAGACGTGGTCTCCTTCTAAGCTGCGATAAGGACACAGGAGGTACAGTAAGGGTTGGCCTATCAATTTAGCTGGGTACACATGGAAACTCAATCAGATAAAACTAAAGATAAGCTAAGTAAATGATGGAAACAGTAATAGGTAATATGCAGATCAGACTACCAAATCTAATTGCGAATAGAGGAATTGCGGGCTTCCCCAAAACGCATATATATCAGACTAACAAATCTGACAGCGCGAAGCAACTGGGCAAAACAAACAGAAAAAATTACTGACTCCCCTTCAAATCGTCGGTTGGCTGGTAAGGGTTCAACGCAGAACTACCTAATCCGGATTGAGAGAAGCAGCAAGAGCAAACTAACCGAAACAATCTCGCCTCCCCTTCAAATCGGTGGTTGGCTGGAGAATCGTTCACCGCATAACTACCAAATCCGATTGTTCGAATCAGCGGGGGTAAACAAATACCACAAATCATGACTCACCTTCGATTCGCCGGTTGGCTGGGGAATTCACCGTCAATTAGCCGCAGGTCTTCCTCGCTCAATCAGGTGTTCGCCGCTCGTTCCAAACTGTAGAATCTCGGCACGGTAAACTCCACATCAGCGGGCCGTCAATGCCTTCCTCCGCTGAGCAGCAAGCGTCAGTCCCTGTTCCCAAAATTGTCCGCTGAGAAATGGATATCCTGCCGTGCTGCGGGAAGGAGAAAGCAAAACGTAGATAACCCCGGAGAAAATGGAAGATGATTTCAGCCGCAAAAAAAGTAGTGGGAACCGACGGTTTCTTATCTCTCCTGTCAGGCGGGGATTTTTAATTTAATCCCGCGTAACCACCCTGTCACGTCAGACTCCTAAAATCACTCTATGCGCAGGAAAATTTAAATGGGGGTTGCAGTTTTACTTTTCAGCTATAAATTATACTGTTGACTCTGGTGTTGCCTTCTCAATCCAGATTTTTACGCTGGAAAAATCAAAATTATCTCCTCTTGTCTGTCGAATTAGGGTTTTCTTTTTCTCCGCCGCCGATGTCTCCGCCGACCAAGAGGAAGGTGTGATAAAAACGAACAAAAGCTAAGAACACGACACCGATTTACGTGGTATCCTCGTTCGAGAGAACGAGACTAATCCACGGAGAGCTCGCACAAGGAGATCTCACTTCTTTTATTAGGTTTTCTGATACTCGACTTACACAGCAGCTCGGCTGTTACAGAGACATATATATATATATATATATATATATATATATATATATATATATATGTGCAAAACCCCATTCTACTCGCTCCTAGGGTTACACAGACCGAAGGTGAATTACTAATCACCACATACCAAAGGACAATAACCAATCACTACCCAAACAAACTAAAACATGCACAGCCAGGTGCGACGTCGTACTCGGCATGCATGCACACGTCCGATAACACTCCCCCTCAAGCGAAGGAGTGTATATCATAAAGTCCGAGCTTGCTACGGAGAATGCCAAACTGCTCAGCTCCCAAACCCTTGGTGAAAACATCCACAGTCTGCTTATCTGTGTGTATCTTCTGCGGCGCAATCTCACCTGAGGTAATACGTTCACGAATGAAGTGACAATCCATTTCCACGTGCTTCGTCCTTTCATGAAAAACCGGATTGGCTGCTATATGAAGAGCTGCCTGGTTATCACAATGTAGAGGAGTTGCCCGAGGAATTGGTACACCGAGCTCCAAAAGTAGCCACCGTGACTCGCTATGACACAACTCCTAACAAAGGCCAAGTGTAACCAATGAAAGGGACTGCAGTATAGTGGCTCAAGTAATAAATATCGAATCCACGGATCTCTAGAGTTACTATTACTCAGCTTCAGTTCATTATCTAGCAAACCAGATTAAGATGAAAGAACTAAAACTACTCTAACAAACTACAGTTAAAGTTAATCTAATTACAGGTTGGGAACTCACTTAGGTATGATTCCCCCTAGCCACTAGCCAGATTAACGATCGATGATTTCTAACTTGTTTCACTTCATTCACAATGCGGAGAATCCTTGACTAGACCTTGAGTCTCGACTAAAGGAACAAGGCCCTCTTGAGTCAATTGCCTAGAGGGACGTATCCTTCTCTAGAACAATCGATCAAGGCGTTCTGAACTAGACTCCCTCTATCGAATGAGGTTCTCAATCGATACAAAGCAGTGAATCAACCCTCGACTAAAGCAATCGATCCACTACTATCAATCTATGGTGCTCTATTGACCTAATCAGGTATTCGCTCTCATAGGATCAAAGCAGAATCAATAATCTCGACTAAAGCAGAATTGAATCGTGAAAACATGCATAGATTGAATATGAACTCAAGATTATCAAGTCAGAGTACTCATACAATCATCCAATCAAACAAACATGGCTAGAGTTCCTCAAAACCTAAGTGAAGGGAAGTTACTCCATAGAGAAGAGAGAGACTGCAGTAAGAATCTTCAGATGATGAGTCTTCAAGTCCGGGCTTGTTCCTCGAGCTTCCAAGGCGAAGAAATCCTCCAATTCCACTCCAAGAATGCCCTCAAATCGCTCTCTCTCTCTTTGGTTCGTCCCTAGGGTGTTTGGGATCCAAAACCCAGCTCTCCCTCTCAAAAACGCACAAACAGGCTTTTAACAGCCTGCGTTCGCGATCCCCGATCGAAATACCCGGTCGGGTATAATTGAAGCGCACCGTTTTGGCCTCAGGGAAAATCCCCGGTCTCTTCCAATAATCCCCGACCGGGGATTTTAGCCATTTGCCCGGGCCCCCTTCTGTTTCTCACGGGTGCCCAAAATGATAAATACCCGGTCGGGTATTTTGCCACCTGACCGGGTATTTTCCTCCTGCAGCCTCCTTCGTCCCAACTTCGCTCCTTTCGACCCAGAACTCATTTCTCCGCCTCGATTCCAACGCCGGGTCCTGAAATATGATATAAACACCCGACCTAGCGTGAAACCGGCTTAAAACAAGAGATTCCACATCACAAACGGCTTCAGAATAGGGGTGAAAACATGTGTAATTATCGGTCTATCAAACTCCCCCACACTTAACCGTTTGCTTGTCCCCAAGCAAACCTAACTCAAACCAATGCAGCTCTCCAGACCTCTATAGCAACAAACACCCCAGATCGTAGGTAGAGGACTTCCTAGATCATTTAGCAACTTACGAGGTCAACCGACGCACAAATCATCTCATAGCTTCTTCGGCGAGAACGCTAGTCTCGAATCGGCATCATGGCAAATAGTGAACAGAGGACAAATGAATCGTGGATGAAGAGACTCTCACAAACAAAAGATCATGGACTCACATTAATTCAAGGTGCTCGATTTTCTTTGTGAACATGGTTGGAACCCTTTTCTTTCTTCTTTTTGCTTGTTTTTCTGTTTTTCTTCTTTTTTTTCACGGGTTCCAACCTGTTTCTGCAGAAAACAGGGGCTCCCACCTAGCAAAGGTTTTGCGGGAGCCCGGCTCTTACCGGCCATGCCAGGAGCGGGTGTCTCGAGCCTCGTGCGGGGGAAAGACATGTAAGGGGGCTGGAGGTAGTAGGTGGAAATTGGGAACGGATTCCCGTCTCCCCTTACACACTTTCGCCCTATTCGCACGGGAGACGTTATTTTAAAGCACGTTTCGAGCACCTGTTACATTCAGAACATGATACAAGAGTCCATGACAGGAAGAGAGTCCACAACACCGCACAATTCAAGGGTCCTAAGATCACTAATTCACTCAATCAACCAACACAATATGAAGAAGAAATGAGACTTCTTAAATGCATCAACATCCTCCATAGTGCTACACTACCTCCCTAGGTTGCAAATCACTACAGAGACTGTCAATTCAAAGCATACTGAGCAGGCAATTGCAAGGAACACGTACTTGGAGCCCTCAAATTTTTTAAAAAATTTGGACAGTGGACTAGGCTCCAAGCACACAAACAGCCAAACATTCATCCGCATACATAATCGAACATCCCCCCACACTTAAGCACGACATTGTCCTCAATGGAGGAAAGATAAGGAGGGTAGAACGAAGTTACCAGATCAAGGGTGAATGATGATGGACGGGGGCAGGCAGTGCATTCCAGGAAGAGAGAGTAATCAGAACACAAACACCACACAAAATCTCACAAAGGTTGAGTTATTGACTCTAAAATCAAATAACAAAACTGACTCAACCGAGGATAAATAGAGAAAGAAATGCAAACCGACTGGTTGGGTTGCCTCCCAACAAGCGCTTCTTTCACGTGGTGAGCCGGACGATGGCTCCTAATTTTCGGTCCATGCTAGAACCTCCTTGAAGTTGAGGTTCTCGTCGATGAGGTGGAGTCTCAAGTCACAAGCAGGTGGTGTGACAGGTGATGGAAGCTCGTGCACTTGATGCGGATGAAGTCTCCACCCTCGAGACCTCTTCTTCTCTTCTCTCGTCTCATTGCCCCAAACTAGATATGACAGCATCGATTGACCACCATCGCGTCCACCAAGAGGGACCGATGTCGATGTGGCCTTGGTCTGGCAAAGAGACACTGCAAATGGGTCCTTGCTGAGCAATTCCTCGAAGTTTGGTGGGGATATCACAAGTAACTCATGGCCGGTGCAAGTGTAACCAATGGAAGGGACTGCAGTATAGTGGCTCAAGTAATAAATATCGAATCCACGGGTCTCTAGAGTTACTATTACTCAGCTTCAGTTCATTATCTAGCAAACCAGATTAAGATGAAAGAACTAAAACTACTCTAACAAACTACAGTTAAAGTTAATCTAATTACAGGTTGGGAACTCACTTAGGTATGATTCCCCCTAGCCACTAGCCAGATTAACGATCGATGATTTCTAACTTGTTTCACTTCATTCACAATGCGGAGAATCCTTGACTAGACCTTGAGTCTCGACTAAAGAAACAAGGCCCTCTTGAGTCAATTGCCTAGAGGGACGTATCCTTCTCTAGAACAATCGATCAAGGCGTTCTGAACTAGACTCCCTCTATCGAATGAGGTTCTCAATCGATACAAAGCAGTGAATCAACCCTCGACTAAAGCAATCGATCCACTACTATCAATCTATGGTGCTCTATTGACCTAATCAGGTATTCGCTCTCATAGGATCAAAGCAGAATCAATAATCTCGACTAAAGCAGAATTGAATCGTGAAAACATGCATAGATTGAATATGAACTCAAGATTATCAAGTCAGAGTACTCATACAATCATCCAATCAAACAAACATGGCTAGGGTTCCTCAAAACCTAAGTGAAGGGAAGTTACTCCATAGAGAAGAGAGAGACTGCAGTAAGAATCTTCAGATGATCAGTCTTCAAGTCCGGGCTTGTTCCTCGAGCTTCCAAGGCGAAGAAATCCTCCAATTCCACTCCAAGAATGCCCTCAAATCGCTCTCTCTCTCTTTGGTTCGTCCCTAGGGTGTTTGGGATCCAAAACCCAGCTCTCCCTCTCAAAAACGCACAAACAGGCTTTTAACAGCCTGCGTTCGCGATCCCCGATCGAAATACCCGGTCGGGTATTTTGGGTCTCGACCGGGTATAATTGAAGCGCACCGTTTTGGCCTTAGGGAAAATCCCCGGTCTCTTCCAATAATCCCCGACCGGTGATTTTAGCCATTTGCCCGGGCCCCCTTCTGTTTCTCACGGGTGCCCAAAATGATAAATACCCGGTCGGGTATTTTGCCACCTGACCGGGTATTTTCCTCCTGCAGCCTCCTTCGTCCCAACTTCGCTCCTTTCGACCCAGAACTCGTTTCTCCGCCTCGATTCCAACGCCGGGTCCTGAAATATGACATAAACACCCAACCTAGCGTGAAACCGGCTTAAAACACGAGATTCCACATCACAAACGGCTTCAGAATAGGGGTGAAAACATGTGTAATTATCGGTCTATCACACCGCAACCAAATGATTTCACTAACAGTAACTGCCATTGCACGGTATTCGGCCTCTGCAGAAGACCGGGCTACTACTTGTTGCTTCTTAGTCCTCCAGGAAACCGGACTGTCTCCCAAACGAATAAAGTAACCGGTAGTAGAACGTCGAGTGCGTAAGCACCC